ACAGAAATTGACTTTTGTATTTGGGAGTGAACTAATTGACTGAGCCAGGTAAGCCCGAAAAGAAGATCCCATGAGGGGCTGGCTTTAGCCCAGCGGTTCCTTCCAGTCTGGCTTCCCAACCGCCCGGGGCCGATTGGTCCGGTGGTTCGAGACCCGCGGGCGCTCTCCAGCCCTTTTAAAAAAAATAAAAATAAAAGAAGATCCCATGTAACCCACTTCTCTCTCATCCCTCTAAAATTACAGAGAAAAGTTTTTCTTTAATGAGACAATTCATATTTGACACGGTCTAAAGGATGACAAAATTTTATACAATAGAGAATCCCAAATAGGCAATAATAAAAATACAGGTTCCAGGGTGACTGGCCTCCTGAGGGCACAGCTCTCCCGGGCTGGCAGGCAGTGGAGTGCGGTAACCGGAGTTTACCCTGCATGGTTACGGAGGGAGACATAGTCCTTCACCCCTGCGTATCCTCCTGAAATACCCGCCACTAGGATTCCTCGGTTAGGGACTGAGCACTGCCCGCAGTGGTCAGGGTGACACATAGTGCCCTGCTCGGCTCTGCTCTGTCCCCACACACAGGCTCAGGGCCAAAACTATGCCAAGTGTGCAGATGGGCAGAAGGGAAGGGAAGGCAGGAGGAGCTAGGATTCCAACTCCTAGGCACGTGGAGAGGATGGGACCCTGGCCCCTGCTCAGAACCGAGCGTGGACGAATTTCAGCAAACACTGACCCAGGGCCGGCACTCTGGCATTGGAGAAAACCCCAGAAGGAGGAAGGTCGGGCCTGCTCCCAGAAGCAGCGGCTGAGGTGGCTGAGGGGTTTCTCATCGTCTCCTGATGTAGGTCAGAAGACATGCATCGGTGATGTCCTCCCCAACCTGGTGTGCAAACACATGGGGTGGCAGATGCGGCTGGACACACAGCTTTGCCGAGTTTCCCCTCGTTTGTGACTGGTCATTCAATCTCAGCTGCTTACACTTCTCCACGACCGCCTTGTCAAACCTCACACCAGAAGAGTGCAGGCCGGCCCATCGCTCTGGGTCTCCGTTTCATGTGAAGCCTATCATCTGCGAGCTTCCTGTTAATCCGTCTGTCCTGGTGATGGGAAGACTGAAGCTCTGGCAGATATGGGGCCAGGAAAGGGTAAGTTTATGGCTTCTGAGAGCTTCTCAGGGTGTCCTGCAGGGACAGGGGGCTGGCGGAGTACCCTGGCCTCTCTTCTGAGGGCACTGACCTCAGATGTGGGGCTCCGTTTGCAGGAATGATCAGCCCCAAAGCCCCACCTCTGCACAGTCACCAGGGGACTTGGCGAAGCACTCACACCAGCATTCAGACACAGCAGGTGTCAGACAGTGAAACTGACTGCATGCTCCAGGGGCAGCAGGAGCAGGGGTGCGGTGGCCTCACGGTTAGGGCAGAAGGAAAGGGCTCAGGATGCTGGCCTTCACTCAGGAGAGCTTGTTAATTTTTGGAAACTATAATAGGAAGCACCAGAAAATAAAGGTAGCTAGAACTTCCAGATGGAATTAGAGGATGTTATTTTCAGACCAAAATGTCCTGTATCTTCCTTTTAAGGAAAGCAAAAATCCTTCAGTATGAGTGGTAGACATGGCTTATTATTAGGTTATAAATTTTTTAAGAATCTAAGATCCTCAAATCAGGAATAAAAAAGTGCAATTTTTTTTCTCCTAGAAAACATACTTATTGGCATCTATAATGACAAAAAAGGCTCTGAAATTTCCAAATGTATCCGAGTAAGCAGTTATGAATCCACAATGTGCATATGCTACATCAAAAGAGGTATTGTAACTTAAAGACTGTGGGGTAAAAATAAAACCCAAATCTGCCACAGTTGCAAGGAAATGGGTTAATCTTCATCTGAGCTTTTGGTCTGAAATGCTCCCCACCCCCGCAGGCCTGGACGTGGACCTTCTGGGGAGCCAGCCGACCACGGCTCCTGCGGGCTCTGTGTAAGGGTGGCAGGTCCTCACCCTACCAGGGCCACTGCACTTTAAACAAATGTGTCTGACTGCGGGAATGCTATGCAGACAGGTCACTCGTGCTTGAAATGGTGTGTGCGTTAAATTGTGGGAGAAATCTCCACAGCAAAGGACAGGCCCGGGACCCCAGAAGGACTTGCGTAAGCAGGACAGTCTCCCCCACTGGGGCACACAGTTAGGTTCTGACCATGAGGACTCCACATGCTTCTCAGAGAAACTAGGGGCGTTTCCTCAAAAATTATATTCGTCATGCTCTGGTACCAAAGGAGTGATTTGTTAATGTTGCACATGCATATAATGATCCTAAGGCTCAGTAGAAATTACTGACACGGGAGTGGGCAAAAATGGGTTGCTCCGTGTTATAGTCTGAGTCTGGATGTCCCTGCAGAGCCGCATGCAGTCGTGGGGGCAGGCTTCCAGAGTTTGTGAATGACTCCTGGTCCAGTGCTGGCTGATGGGTGTGAGGGCCACGCCCACGTGGGGGACGCACAGGGTAGGGACACGAGAGTTCTCTCCCTGCTCCTCCCCTTCTGCTCCCGTTGCTGGTTGCTGTGCTGTTTTCTACCGCAGTGAACTCTTGCCACCCCGCCTTGGAGCCAGCTGATTACGGACTGAAACCTCCACAACTGCCAAGTGAATAAGCCTTTCCCGCCACCATGTCAGGCATCAGGTACTTTGTCTCAGTGGAGTGTCTCACCCCACTTTCTTCTCTCTTTTTTTGGTACTGGAGATTGAACTCACGACCTTGTGCTCACCAGGGCTGATGGTGGCCTGGTGGAGAAGAGCCGCAGGACTCATCAAGCACTGGGGTCAAAACGAAATGCTTCCTCCACTCGGATGTTAGCTAAAGGGACAAGCATGACCATACCTTATGTTAAGCAATAAGGGACCCTGGTGATGCTAAATTAATACAGCTCTGTAAGACGTTTCCCGGAATTTTGTCTAGAGGGTGACACAGTACGTAATTTCCCTGTAGCACTTGCTGTATAATACCTGGATTACAGCCGAACCTTTAAATTGCAGGACACTCATGCTTTAAGAATTGAGTAGCCTTTGCTATTAAACCATGGTTAAAATTTTTTTAAAAAATGGACAATTCAGCTAAAAGACAGTAATTAGAATAGACATTGTTACTTTCTAATAATATATAACTAAACTTTAGAAAGAAAACAATCCCTTTACCATTGAGGACTAGTAAAGGCTGAAAAGTGAATTTGTGACTTTAATGCTCCGAACTGGTTTTTATTTAAGGGCTGACAGTTCTGGAACCTGCTCTACATGGTGGGAAGAATTCTCAGTGTCTGCACAATGTTTGAGTGAACGAGCTCTTTTAGGAATCAGGAGTGGCGTTGTCTGACTTCTGTGACAAACAGTGAAGTAAGATATCGTAAGCATACAGGTGCCAAAATCCCTGGGCGTGGTCGAGGTTTATTTCCAGCATTTTAGGGTGAATGTACTCTAGGTTTGAAGCAAAATCATCTTCAAGGCAAAGTGAGTTTCTGGAACACTCAGTTCTTTGAGCAGGTGAAGGAAGGTCTAGCATCTGCCTCGTAACTGCACATTTAGAAAGAAAGACCTTCATTCGGGCCACATCCTCGTCTGGGAAGATCAGGCTGGAAACCTGTGAGCCCCGAGTTGTCTGCCTGAGAAGAACAGCGTGATCTCGGATGCCAGGGAGGGCACGGGAGCCCTGGGGATAGACAGGCTCAGCCTCCTTTCTTCCACGTGTCCTCTTGAGTTTCTGGGTGTTGCCAGAAGCCTGTACCTGCCACACACAGCAGCACCCCGGCTGCAGGAGGCTGTCCCCGAGGGTGGACAGACAGTGTGGGGCAGAGACTGGTCCCTGTAGGGGATCCCAGGAGAAGCAGGCACAAGACAGGGAGAGAGACAGCTGGGCGACAGGAAGGTGGCACAGGCTCAGGGTTGCAGGCCACACAGTGCCACGGCCAAAGCTCTGCTGTCAGTGACCACAGGAGCCCATCAGGGTCAGGCAGGAGCTGTTGGAGACCTAAAGCCCTCAGGCTCCAGCCTGCAGCCTTGCTGGCCCGTGCAGCAGAAGGTCAGAGCCTTGCGTGCTCCCCTTCTCGCCTTCCCGATGCTGCCGTGAGACAACACGGTTTTCCCGGGACTATCAGCAGGGCCCCAGAGTCGGCGTCTGCACAGGCGCAGCCTGAATGCCACCCTGCTGCTAATGAGTGGCTGGGTTCTTTTCTGCCCAGGTATTAGAGAGAGAGGCTCAGCTGCTCTCACACACTGCGTGCCTGGGGGGCAGGCTTGGTGGTCTCGGAGACCGGGCTCCTGACACATCATGAAGACCTGGACTGGTTGCTTTCTGTCCCGGGTGGACCCTTAGCTTTGATGTAGTGACAGTGACAGATCTCCTCTGGGTTCTAAACTTCAATATGGAGGAGGAGTCCTCTAGCAATTTTCCCTTCTTTCTGATTCCTCCAAACTGCTACAAGCCCAGGAAACATTCTGGGGGAAATAAGCTGTGAAATGTGAAGGCTGCGGGCTGGCACCAGGCCCGAGGCGGGTGGCGGTGCTGCCCCCAGCCCCGCGATGACATCCCCTCGCGTCCCTCTTCGGAATCAAGGTCTGTCTCTCAACCATCAAGTGGTCCCTGAACAGTCAGCTGTGATGTGCGCGGACCAAAACCCTCATTTCTCTACAAAGCATACCTAAGAAGCAAAGGCTGTGAGGAGCCAGTGGAAGGCATCTTAATTGCAATATTTTAGCTAAGTGTGTGGCCGAGGTCTCCTGGGAGCGGCACCCTCACTGCTGTGGTCATTTGCCAAGCGCTGCGGTCCTGGGACAGACAGAAAGCCTTCACAGGTTAGGGTCTGAGATACCTCAGGAGCAATTAAAATATAAAACAAACTGGGACGAACCCCTCTACTCTTCCTCCAACTCTTCTGCAAGTGGAGAAGTAACCAACAGAGTCACGTCTTTAGAGAAACGCAAAGTGGCAAGTGCTGCAGGGAGGAGAACAGTGCGACTCACGCGTGGGGGCAGAGGCGCAGGTCGGTGCTGTCATCTCGGGGCTCTGTGCTGCTGTCCCCTCCCACTCTCAGCTCTTCTCCTCCGCCAGGAACGAGACCCCTGCCTGGTGAAGCATGGGAACATGTTTCCCTCGTGCGTAACAGATGAGCACCAACAGTTATCCAAATGTCTGGCAAGAGGAAACCAGAGACGCTGGTGTGCGGAATACTACACAGAATACTACACAGCAGTCAAAAATGTAAGGACTGCCACATGCAGCACTGTGGGGATCCCAGAAACATTGAGCTAAACAAGAGCAGTCAGCTACCCAGGAGCACAGATATACGACCTGCCTTGCCCAGAATCAAAACCAGCACAGCCGCTGCTCCGGGACGGCAGTGACCGGGAAGGGAAGAGGGGCACAGGTGCTCCGCTACCCCATGCCTCTCGAGCCACGACGACTTAGGGAAAGGGCCTCTGCGTATGGTGGTGAGCTGTGTCAGCTGGGACGGCACAGCACGAGGTCCTGCGCAAGGGTGAGGCAAGGCCCGCAGCGCACTGTGCCATGTGGAGCAGCACCATGCCGTGGGGAGAGACGCTGTGCCACCCACCAACCTCCGGGCAGGAACCGAGGGTCCCGCTCTGTGCGAGTCACCTGGCCTCCCTTGGCCTCTCCCTCCCCTCCGGAAGAGAGTGATGTCACCAGCGTGTGCCTTGGGCTTCTCTCAGCTCTGGTGCAGGCGTGGGGCCTCAGAACCAGCCATGGGATCCCTAGAACTGTCACCCCCTCGTTTGGAGGAAGGGAGGTGAATCCTGCTTTCTGAAGTTTCCCAAAGCCCGCTTCTTCCTCAGGAAGGCTCCCAGGCAGCCTGCGGGTGGGGCCACCCCACTACCGATTTCTCTGGCAGCTGCATCCTCTCCGGGTTGGGTTAAGTAGTAACTCCCGAAGAGAACGCGCCCCGATCCTAGCACAAGGGAAGGGTTAGGCTGAGAATGAGAGCTGAGGTCCTCGACCTAGAATGTGGCGGCTTCTAGAAAGCGGTTGGGAAGGGGTTTGTGTTCTTGAGGTGCGGAGACGGCCTTCGGGTCTCTGGCTCTCGGCTGCATCTGCCCCAAGAAGCTGGTTTGCTCCACACCCCTCCGCTCTGGGGGAGCCCTGAACTGAAACGCAGTGCAGACAGCTTCCCGAAGGCTTTGTGTACTGCGCCAGCTACAAGCCCTGCACTGCCATTACCCGCACTGCAAGTGAGCAGGAGACCCTTCCTCCTGTCCGCTCCATGACGCTCACCTCACCGTGGGGCAGTCTACCAAATTCTTAGGATGAAAAAAAGTTTTGCTGAAATTTTTGTGCATCTCATTTCCAAGAATTTTCCAAAATAGCACAGAAATACCAGCTTCCCACCAGGGCTCCACAGGGCGCCTCTCCCCGAACCGAACTGTCTTCCCAAATCTCTCAGGAAGGCGTTCCCTTACCTACACCTGCCCTGGGAGTGCTGTGGCTGCAGCAGATCGCGGTGCAGATTCTCAGGCTGTATTGATGAGTTTTCAGCTCTTAGCAGGAAGCAGAGAGGAACAGGGAGCCCAGGTGCAGTGGATTTTCCTGTGGAGCAGAGTGGGGCAGGAGGTGACAGCGGGAGGTTGGCTTACTTTTGTGGCTGGGGAACAGCCTGGGATGAGGATGTGGTCAGTGGCTTCTTCAGCAATGCGGGGGATGTGCAGGCCCTGCTCCTGCAGGTCGCGTCATCGTCCTTACTGAGTGGTGATACGTGAACAGAATTCCCGAGGTTGGACCAGGACTTGTGGGCCAGGTTGCCTAGCTTCTTCTCCACGGCGCGGGGCAGCTCCCGGGGGCTGGGTCAGAGCTGTCTGCTTCCTGGCCTGTCCTGACCTGGCCTGGCTGCAGCCTCTGGGCAGCAGCTTGTCCTTCCCTGCTGGGTCCCCAGGGGTCTGCAAACGCCACAGAGAAAGAAGACAATGGCGAGACATAACCCAGCCTGTGCTGCTGCCCATGGGACCACAGGTCCCCATTGCAGACCCAGCCACTCCTGGGCAGGAGCCATGTGTGAGGCTCCTGCAGGCCCAGACACTGCTTTCTGGGGGCAGTGCCATGTCATCCCCTGCCTCAGGCAGGCTACAGCACCTTGTACCCAGAGTGCCACCGGGGCCTGGCCTCACTGGCCTGCCTCCTCCGGCTGCTGTGGTGCACGGCTCTCTGCAGGCATCCTGAAACACGGTCTCTCCAGAGCCTGCAGCCGGGGTCGCCCCGGCCTGTGCATCCCGTTTCATGCCAGTCTGTGGCCAGCTTCTGTGGCACACAGCACTTCCTGCTGTGGGCAGAGGAGCACCCAGCCTCACTGTCCTGAGACCCGCATGGCCAGGGTGCTGCCCTTACAGCACCCTGGGCTCCGAATGGGGAGGCTCAGAAAATGGCGTGAGGACAAAGCCAGGCTGCACACACTGCAGATTACCCGGGGCAGGAGCTGGGCTGCTGAGAGGTCGGGCAGCGACGAGGAGGGCTCTGGTGCCCAGACCCTCCGGGCCAGCACCAGGTGGGCGGTGTGGGGCCACAAGGCCAGGATGAACGACCCACATGGCCTGGATGGTGCCCGGGGCAGACTGCTGGCTGCAGTGTCTGTAAGATATTCTGATACCAGAGCCCTGGCCAGCCCAGGTCCGAGCCCTGTGTGCCGGACCCTGCTGGGACACAGGTGACATGGAGACCACCACAGACTGGCAGCCCAGCCCAGTCCATGCAGTGACATCTGGCAGTGGGACCTGGGATGTCACCCCCCACTCCCCTGCCCAAGGACACAGCATCCGGAGGGGGTATCCTGGTGTTTTAGGGCTGTGACTACATTTTACTGAAATTACTGAAGGACTTCATTTAATGAGTGAGAGAAGTCATCTCAACCTTATGCATCGCCCAATTCTGTGTAATCACCCAATTCTCTGTCGGAAGGCTGAGGCAGGAGGATCACAAGCTCACGAGCAGCCTAGGCAACTTGGACTCAGAATAAAGTTTTTTAAAAGGGGAGAGGATGTAGCTCAGCGGCACGATGTTTGGCCTGCGTGTGTGAAGTGTTAGGTTCACTCCCAGCACAAAAATAAAAGGTAGCTCATTACTTTGTGCTGGCCGTGCAGCCCAGGGCCTTCTCTCTCCGGGGACCGTTTAGCTCTCATTATGATGTGCAGTGAACTGTCACTGGGAAAACTTAGATAGGAATAAGACCCCAGAGAAGACGGGATACTGTAATTAAAGGTAGGCATTTTAAACGAGATTTTTCCACATTTGAGTAATAATTAAAATAAGAGTGGTATCTGCAGACTCTTCTGTTTTATACCAGTCTTGAATAATAACCCTTTTGGCCTCATTTTTAATACTTTTTTAGAACCGCTCTGTATTTGCTGAGGGAACGGTGCTGGCCACTCACCAGCCTCTTTTCCGTGTATTTTCTTCTTCATTTTGATATTCATACACACGTCAGTTTCCTTCCCTGTTCTGCTGGAAAATGCTCATCCCGTTCTCTGTTCTCCACACATGACCCCGGCCAGCCCGCCGGCCTCGCCCGCTCCCCCTCACCACGTGGGTCACACTCCCGCCTGTGCTCTGGTTCCACGGACCAGGATTCCACATCCTTTGTGAGACCCGGCTCCGGGCAGCGACAGAAAAGAGGGCCGGGTACATCATAATGGCACCGGCAATCAGGCTGTCATTATAGGTGCATTATGCTCCGGGGCTAAACTGGCAGACGGCCTCTATTTTTAATTTCTGCTCATCTGTTCACCATTATTAAGGGAGCTTAGACACCAGAGGAGATTTAAGAGTGGCAGAGGGTAATTACACACTTTAGGAAAAGATACTTTTCCCCACAGTTAGAAGTGCACCAAGAGAAAAGCTCACCCAGAATTTACTGGGGCTCTGTGTCCATTTTTGCTTGGATAGGAACACAATTTTCATTTTATATTCAAGTTTGTGTTTCACACAGTGCTTCTGCTAAATTTTTATAGTCTGTCTGGACAGCATTTTGAAGGTTTTTTTTTTTTTTTGAGGACATTATTTTAATAAGTAATTGTTCGTTTTGCACTTTGCAATGAAAAATAATTCATAAGGCAGCTAATGAATTTTTAATTTTTCAATTATGGTCTGTGTCACTTGGGATAAAACAGGAAGCATTTTAAACATAATTGGAGATGCTGGCTAGCTCCTGAAAGGTTAAGGGCACAGCGTCATAGCACCGGTACAGTTTTTCACAGGCTTATTGTTGTCATCGATACACGACAAGCCGCACACATAAAGTGTGTACCTTTGTAAGTTTCCATATATTCTATACCTATCCACACAAGCCCACGGCAGTGAAACACCACTGAAATCAACACAGTGAAAGTCATCACCACGCCCCGGAGTTGTCCAGTGTCCTCTTCACAATCCCTCTCTGCCACCCACCCAAGCTTTGTGTAGAGAACTATTTATTGATCAGCTGTCCCTCTAGATGAGCTTCCCTAGCATTCCATGGTTAACTGACTGGATTTTCTACAGCTTTATTAAGTGACACTGCACAGCATACACTGCAGCTTGTTACATGTATCCCTCTTTGTTGCCAAATATTAGCCCTTGTATGAATCTGTTACATTAAATTAAATTCAGCTTGGCCTTGTTTCCATGGCAGCGAACTGCAGCCCTAACTTGGCATGCAGGAGCACAGCTCATAACTGAGGAATGTGCTCACAGGATGACCAGTGGTCTCACCTGGCCACAGTGGTGGCTTCAGCCAGCAGCAGGTTGCCACCTGTCACACCATGCACCCAGCAATCCCTGCTGTCAGTAATTCCCCCATGTCACCTCCTTTCCCTGTGAATAGCGCTGCCAGGCTGCTGCGAGGGCCAGGACCCTCGAAACCCTCTGGCTCACAGTACAGCTGACCCAAGAATCAGCACTGCAGGACTGAACTAGTCCAAGGTTTTCCTGGCAGAGATCTGTCTCCATGCGTGCACCACTACAGAGGCTGATGGGGCTTCAGATGGTCTCAAGATTTGGGTTGTTATAAATAAACTTGCCGCAGGCATATCCGTACCACCCATTGTGTGGAAGCACTTTCCTTTTTTTGAAGTAACTAAGTAGGAATGAAGGTCATTTATTCACGCGACAGGTGGGTGTGTATGATTTTGAGAAGCCCAAGAGCTCTTTCTTGTGGTGCACCCATGGCCGGAGGAAGCCCCTGCTGATGCCTGTCCTGGCCTCTCTCAGGCCCTGTCATTCTGCCCATTTTTCCATGGAGTTGTTTTCTTGTTGTTGAGTTTTGGGGATCTTTAAGCATACTCTGAATATGAGCCCTTTGTCTTAGTTACTTTTCTCTCATTGTTGAGACGAAATACCTGACACCCTGAATTAGGGCAGGAAAGGCTTATTTATTTTGCAGTTTTGGAAGTTTCAATCCATACTCAGCTGGCTCTAAAGCAGGGTGGCGTGGCAGGGTGGCCACTCACCGCCCCTGCAAAAAAGCAAGTGCAAACCACACAAAAAGAGCAAAGCCACGCCTTCTCCTTGCTCCTACACTGTATGTTGGCTCTGCCCTGGGTGGGTGTAGCTCTCACAACATCAATCCCAGTGCTAGACAGTGAGCCAATCACGAACGCTGGATTCAGCTGCATTCATGACTGCATGAGGCTGGGGGGAGGGCAACAAAACACAAACCTTAACACCCTTTTTCAAGTGTATACTTTGTAAGTATTTTCTCCAAGCCTGAGGATTGTCTTTTCATTCTTTAATAGTGTTATTCAAGGAGAAGTTCTTAATTTTGATGAATTATCATTTGTCCTTTTATAGTTTTATTTCTTTGTTCCCAATAGACATGCATGTTTTTATTTTTTTATTTTTTGCCTTATTACACTCACTAGAATCTCTAGGATAAGCCCCACATTGTCATGATGCAGCATCCAGTTTATATGTTGCTGGATTTGATTTGCTAACATTTTACTTAAAACCACATTTACTTTAAATAACATGGCGCTATTTTGTTAAAGTGCGTTGAGTACCTTCGACTAAATTTGCACCCTGATTCACTCTTGAATGGTTCAGAACATAAAATCTTAGAATCCACAGAATTTTTTTAAGAATTAAAAATAATAAAGACAAGTGTTGACTTTTTGGAGCAGTGGATCTGCAATGGCCCTGGAAGAAACTGCGCACCTGGGTCACCATGTGTAGCTGCAGACCTGGTCAGTGCTGCTGCTCCACAGAGGCCGCTCCTCCCACACCCCCGAACTGTCTGGGTTCCCGGGGAGGCCAGCGGCTGTCCCTGGCTGAGGCAGGTGATTGCACAGGAGTCCTGCTCCCCAGCGGTGCCCAGCACTGGGGTTTCTGAGAATAATGAAAAGAAAAATGGAATTTTTTTCAGTTTCCAAGTCTTTTGTCTCCAAGCATGGAAACTGCCAGGAGAGAGAGAGCACGGCAGCCCAGGGTGGGGTCCTCGCCTGGGCATGCTGCGGCTGTGTGAGAACCGGGCCTTGGGTGTGCACACAGCAGTGCTGGCCACGCAGATCAAGGTCAGATCGGTCCTGCCGGCTGTGAATTGAGGCTCATCTCTGAGAAATAACTAAAATAATGGCTTTTAAATCTCTTCTTGGTACTGAGTAGGCGTCTGAGAGCCCCACAGAACGGGGCTTTTGCGATCCTGCAGCCAGGGACTGAGCTGCTTCTTCCATTCCTGTGTTCTCATCATACAGCGGAAGACTGAGAGAAGACAGGAAGTGAATAATTCAAGTATTAACACAACCGATAGAAATGGGCAATGTTCTTTCTCTTTTTCCATTTTTCTGTGATCCTAGTTTTCTATGTTAAATATCTCTAAGCTTCATGAGCACAAGAGCCTTCCGATCTGGATTATCACTGAGTGGTCACCAGCAGCCAGCTCAGTAAGCGAGCTGCCCGCTGCCTGTCCACGACCACACAGAACCCGATCCCGACACTTTGCTCCCCGGAAATCACTAACAGAGACAGTGCAGACGCCAAGACCTGGTACTGTTTCAGAGCTCAGTAAATTCCCTTCAGGGCAAAATAAAGGTCCACGGGAAAAAAGCCGTGCTCACTGCCAAGGACGAAAACCTTAAGAGAGAAAAAGAAGGAATAAGGAAAGAAAGAAAAAGAGGAGACGGAGGAGAGGAAAAGGGAGAGAAGGAGGGCAGAGGGAGGTGCCACGGTCCCACCAGTGTGGGAGAGCTCCGCAGGATTTGGGGTGTCGCAGAGAATCAGCCAGCCTCCTCCTTGCCAAGGGGAGACTCTGGAGCCTGCTCTCTGGAGGGGGTGATACGACTTGCGTGGGGCTCTGTGCAGATCTGTTAAATCCTCATCTTTTTATTCTGATGAACAATTTCTAAAGAATGTGACTAGCAGCCGAGCATGGTGGCTCACGCCTGTAATCCCAGCACTCGGGAGGCTGAGGTGGGAGGATTTTTGCAAGTTCGAGACCAGCCTGGGCTACAAAGTGAGCTCAAGGCCAACCTGAACTGCATAGCGAGATCCCATCTCAAAAAAAAAAAAAAAAAAAAAAAAGGAATGTGACTAGCAGAAGGCATGCTTTCCACAGTGCTATGTTAGGCATAACAAATTATTCTTTACAATTCACAAGAGTTTTCAGGTCTTACTACAAGCATGGAGTGCAGGAAAACTCTGACCGGGGATGAGGATGAGTTACACAGGGCACAGACTACGGAGCTTCTGCAAGCTGCTGTAATGACAAATTTCCTGCATTTGCATAGCTGCTTCCTGAAACTGGGTTATGAAACACGCTCTGAGTAAAGTCATACAGCATACACAACAGGTTAAAATGCCACTAAGCAAGCCCTGTGTGCCCATGCCCACTGCGAGGCCCTATGCACCTGCCCGTGGCAGCCCCACTCCCACGGAGCTAACTGAGCCACAGAATTTCGGGATTTGTTCCCCAAGTTTTGTCATAGACTCAGATTCTTAAACATTACACTGTGTGGAGCACACACTTTTCTATTTTCCACGAATTAATTAAATAATTAGGTTTTGTTTTCTCTCCTGCCATGAGACATGACCTTGCTGGTTACTTACTATTTATTTATTTATTGTCTTTTGAGACAGCGTCTCATTACACAGTTCAGGCTGGCCTTGAGCTCACTTTGTAGTCCAGTCTGGTCTTGAACTTGCAGCGGTCCCCCCGCCTCAGCCCCCCAAGTGCTGGGATTGCAGGCACACGCCATCTCACCCGGCTCATGCTGGTTATTTAGTGACAGATCCTCAGTTTTTACTGCTGTGCAGTCCTCATAGCTGAGCAGACATACTGGGAACTCTGGAAAAGAGGAAGCGCTTTAAAATTCTGATTTGTATTTCTATTGCGTGCCGAGTTAGGCTGCCTCGAGAGCACCTGGCCATGCAGAGCACATAGTGTGGCCAAGCATGGCTACCACCAAACCAACCCTGCTTTCCCAGGTGATCTGGGGCCACCGAGCCTCCCTGAGCCTCTCGGGAGTCACGGGGCTGCTGGAATCTGGTGAGGCTGCCATGGATTGAAGCATCCATAGAGCGGGATTGACAGAATCCTCAGTTGAGCAGAAAAGCATTGCTCCTAGGACTTGTGAAGAAACGTTGTCCAATCTCTGTCCTGTGCTGTCTGTGACATTCCAGATGACTCAAAATGTGC